AATCAAGGTATTCGTCTTGGCAAGTCTTCAATTATTTTAGTAACGAATGATTTTAAAGGGGAAAGTGAAAAGAGAAAGATTTCTTATGAATATTTTATCAACTACATAAGAGGTCTTTTCACATCAATTCCTAAAATTATTTCAGTAGAAACAAAATCTGCTGGCAAAATTTGTTTAGAAAACTTTCCTCAATTTTTTTTTACTGATTGAGTATGAGAATAAAAGAATAATAATATTTGAAACTTTTAATTTAGACAGATTCAATGAGAAACCCTTTCCATTTTCTTTTTATAGTATTTCCCAAACCACTTTGGCTATTGAACAGTTTGTTTATTTTTATTAGAGTGTCAAGTAACTGACAAAGGCTTTTATCTGTAATTAAATGAATTCTCCAAGTTTCTTCCATTTGCCGAGAAAGATATTGATCTTTGCAAATTTTTGTTGCAGATATCGGGCGAAACATCTGACAGACTAAGCATTTTCACGAAATTCAGGGGTGAATTGAATGAACTAGCAAAATGAATGATCTGGGCTAAGTGGGTCAGAAAAAAATTAAATAATATTTTCTGGAAATTTCAAATGTTTAATTCAATTCCTCAAAACGGCCGTAGAATTTCGATTATCTTGAGAACTACAATAGTCAAAACCTCAAACCAGAATTCATAATGAACCTAGGAAAATTTCCAACCCCACCCACCCTTTATGAACCCATTTTGCCAGAGGATTCCACCAAAAACCCCACAAAATCACATTTCTGTCCAAGATTCGGTTTCGCTGATTATTTCGATGAAGAATGCTCCGACACATCACCAGCTTCTTTCTGGATCAGGAACTCCCGTATGGACTCCCTGACATGATAAACCCCCACCCCTTACCCCCAGAATTCCAAAAAAAATGTCAAGAAGTTTAATTCGATTCCCCAAAACATCCATAGAATTTAGATCCTCTCAAGAACTTCAACAGTGAGAACCTCAAATCAGAATGCATAATGAAGCCAGGAAAATTTCCAATCCCACCCACCCTTTATGAACCCGTTTTGCCCCAGGATTACCTCAAAAACCTCACGAAATCGCATTTCTGTCCAAGATTCGGTTTCACTGATTATCTCGAGAACGAATGCTCCAAGAGACATCACCAGCTTCTTTTTTGATCAGGAACTCCCCTATGGACTCCCTGACATAACCCACTCCTACCCAATTGACAACAGCACATACAGTTTAAAAAATGTCATGACATTATACTCAATCGTTTTTATTCCTGCATTATTTCTAAATATTATTTTTTTTATCATCATTTTTTGTTCGTTTTTTTAGATTGGACGTTGGCGAGTATCCATCTCAGCCACAATTTTTGTGCTTTGTTTTCAATCTCTCTTCCTCCGTTCCAGATTTCAATGATTTTTTCCTTTTGAATAGCCATCTGGGTATTGATGTCTAAGATGTGTCCATCTATCTCTTCCAGCTTCCCTGTTTGCCTAAAAGAAACAGAAGATAAGAAACGTCAATTACTCTCATGACATATTCTATCGTTAGTGGAGTCCTGAAAATGTTTTCAACAACAAAATAACATAGAAACAACAATGATTAACCCCTCAGGTACGGCGCCATCGGCGCTCAAACTGTCCTAACGGCTGGCGGGAGATGGCAAACGCGTGTATTAGGTCGGTATAACATACCGACCCCGGCCGCTAGGACGAGAAGTCAGGTCGGTATAGGATATGGAGCCCGTACGTGAGGGGTTAACCAGGGCCAGGCAAAAATTCGCCCACAATCGCTTTGTGCAGATGGGCCAATTCTAAATGCAAAAAAAATCAACCCATAGATCTCTGTCCTCGCTTCACGTATGACAAAATTTAATAGAAAAACTTAGCGATTTCGTTAGATAATTCTATTGGTTTTCTGTAGAAATTCCAGTAGTTTTTGGCCGTTTCTTTTAAAATGTTCAATAGAAAATATCCTATAAACAGTCAATATGACTCGATTTTTCTATACAACTTATTCTATTGAAATATTTTCCATTGAAATTTCTTCGGCTCAAATTTTCTAAGTTTTTTTGTTTGATTTTCTTGAAAGGAAGAAAAGAAAAATTGAATGAAGAAAACTTCAATTAAGAAAATTCGAGAAAATTCAATAGAAAATATTTCAATAGAATAAGTTGTGTAGAAAAATCGAATTCTATTGAATTTTTCTATTCAATATTTCTACAAACGGGTTCATAAAGGGTGGTTGGGATTGGAAATTTTCCTGCCTTCATTATGAATTCTGATTTGAGGTTCTCACTATTGAAGTTCTTGAGAGGATCTAAATTTTATGGATNCTTCATTATGAATTCTGATTTGAGGTTCTCACTATTGAAGTTCTTGAGAGGATCTAAATTCTATGGACATTTTGGGGAATCGAATTAAACTTCTTGACATTTTTTTTGGAATTCTGGGGGCAAGGGGTGGGGGTTGATCATGTCAGAGAGTCCATACGGGAGTTCCTGATCCAGAAAGAAGCTGGTGATGTGTCGGAGCATTCTTTATCGAGATAATCAGCGAAACCGAATCTTGGACAGAAATGTGATTTTGTGGGGTTTTTGGTGGAATCCTCTGGCAAAACGGGTTCATAAAGGGTGGGTGGGGTTGGAGATTTTCCTAGCTTCATTATGATTTCTGGTTTGAGGTTTTGACTATTGTAGTTCTCAAGATAATCGAAATTCTACGGTCGTTTTGGGGAATTGAATTAAACATTTGAAATTTCCAGAAAATTTTATTCAATTTTTTTCTGACCCACTTAGCCCAGATTATTCATTTTGGTAGTTCATTCAATTCACCCCTGAAATTCGTGAAAATGCTTAGTCTGTCAGATGTTTCGCCCGATATCTGCAACAAAAATTTGCAAAGATCAATATCTTTCTCTGCAAATGGAAGAAACTTGCAGAATTCATTTAATTACAGATAAAAGCCTTTGTCAGTTACTTTACACTCTAATAAAAATAAACAAACTGTTCAATAGCCAAAGTGGTTTGGGAAATACTATAAAAAGAAAATAGAAAGTGTTTCTGATAGAATCTGTCTAAATTAAAAGTTTCAAATATTATTATTCTTTTATTCTCATATTCAATCAATAAAAAAAAATTGAGGAAAGTTTTCTAAAGAAAATTTTGCCAGCAGATTTTGTTTCTACTGAAATGATTTTAGGAATTGATGTGAAAAGACCTCTTATGTAGTTGATAAAATATTCATAAGAAATCTTTCTCTTTTCACTTTCCCCTTTAAAATCATTCGTTACTAAAATAATTGAAGACTTGCCAAGACGAATACCTTGATTTCTCTTAGCTATAAGCACCATGAAGGTGAATATCATAAATATATTCAGGTGAATTATTCAATTCTTTCTCGCATCCAATGGCTTCTGATTATTTAGTTTGTTTGTTGATTCAATTCACTATAGAGCATCTGATCGAAATTGTCAGTTTCTTCTCGATGTTTCGCTCCCATATGTGCAATGTAAATTGACAAGAATGGATATTTTAAGAATTCTGCTAAAAAAAAACTTTATCAGTTACTTTACATTCAAATGAAATAAACAAACCCTTTAACAAAAAAAAAATCGTTCAGAAAATTTCATGAATAGCAAATAGAAGTTGTTTCTGATAGTCTGTCTGAATCAAAAGTTTCAAATATTATTATCCTTTTATTTTCATATTGCATCAATAACAAAATTGAGAAAAGTTTTCATTCAACAATGATATTGTCAATAGATTATGGAATGCGTAATTTTCGGAGTTTATGTTAAGAGACATCTGTATAGTTGAGAAAATCTATGGCAATCTGTCTTTTGACAATTTTCCTCTCCAGAATAACTCATTCTCAAAATGATTGAATATTTACCGAGACGAAGAAAATACAAAATACTCCAATACTTGCCAACTCATCAGCACCGTCAGTGATAATTAAATACATATATTTTTCTAAATTATGCAATTTTTTTCCTAAACCCACTGTGAATCGGATATTTACTTTGTTTTTGTTATTGTGGAGGTTTGAGTTGCCGTTGCCGGCATTGAAAATTCGTCCAAATTCCCCNTTCGTGAAAATGCTTAGTCTGTCAGATGTTTCGCCCGATATCTGCAACAAAAATTTGCAAAGATCAATATCTTTCTCTGCAAATGGAAGAAATTTGGAGAATTCATTTAATTATAGATAAAAGCCTTTGTCAGTTACTTTACACTCTAATAAAAATAAACAAACTGTTTAATAGCCAAAGTGGTTTGGGAAATACTACAAAAAGAAAATAGAAAGGGTTTCTCATTGAATCCGTCTAAATGAAAAGTTTCAAATATTATTATTCTTTTATTCTCATACTCAATCAATAAAAAAAAATTGAGGAAAGTTTTCTAAACAAATTTTGCCAGCAGATTTTGTTTCTACTGAAATGATTTTAGGAATTGATGTGAAAAGACCTCTTATGTAGTTGATAAAATATTCATAAGAAATCTTTCTCTTTTCACTTTCCCCTTTAAAATCATTCGTTACTAAAATAATTGAAGACTTGCCAAGACGAATACCTTGATTCCTCTCAGCTATAAGCACCATGAATGTGAATATCATAAATATATTCAGGTGAATTATTCAATTCTTTCTCGCATCCAATGGCTTCTGATTATTTAGTTTGTTTGTTGATTCAATTCACTATAGAGCATCTGATCGAAATTGTCAGTTTCTTTTCGATGTTTCGCCCCCATATGTGCAATGTAAATTGACAAGAATGGATATTTTAAGAATTCTTCTAAAAAAAAACTTTATCAGTTACTTTACATTCAAATGAAATAAACAAACCCTTTAACAAAAAAAAAATCGTTCAGAAAATTTCATGAATAGCAAATAGAAGTTGTTTCTGATAGTCTGTCTGAATCAAAAGTTTCAAATATTATTATCCTTTTATTTTCATATTGCATCAATAACAAAATTGAGAAAAGTTTTCATTCAACAATGATATTGTCAATAGATTATGGAATGCGTAATTTTCGGAGTTTATGTTAAGAGACATCTGTATAGTTGAGAAAATCTATGGCAATCTGTCTTTTGACAATTTCCCTCTCCAGAATAACTCATTCTCAAAATGATTGAATATTTACCGAGACGAAGAAAATACAAAATACTCCAATACTTGCCAACTCATCAGCACCGTCAGTGATAATTAAATACATATATTTTTCTAAATTATGCAATTTTTTTCCTAAACCCACTGTGCTCCGGATATTTACTTTGTTTTTGTTATTGTGGAGGTTTGAGTTGCCGTTGCCGGCATTGAAAATTCGTCCAAATTCCCCCACTCTACCCAATCACTGGAGCACGAACTAAAACCATCGAGGTACGAACCACTCGTTCGTTTCGGTCCTATACTCCGTGCAATCCAACATTGCCAACCAACGTCTAGTTATTCCCAGAACTTAATTTGACGACTGTGCTGTCAGTTTAAAAACAAAAAAAGAGTATCTTGTGTTCATCATTAAAATTGAGTAACTCGGCAGTAGCAGTCCCGCTGTCACAGGGACAGGTTCGGATGGGTACTTTTGTCCTCCTTGTACTCAATGTTTACTTCATATTTTTCAGTTGATTTCTTCGCCGACTAATTAATATTAAGGGATGGAACAAAGACTGTTCAATGGAGAATTAAATTCCCCATCCATCAACCCCCGTTTCATCCCTTAATCTCTGCAATAAAAAAATTAATATTGCG